TCCAGTTTGTGGGAATGCATGGCTGGGATGCTGTACTTTTCCAATTGTTTCCAGGGGAACAGTATCAGTACTTGAGTCTTTTGCTGGTTTTGTTTGTTTGTTTTTTCCTATCTTTTCAGTGTGTGTATATATGTATTTTGTGTGTGCATGAAACAGAGAGAGATACAATAAGGATTTTAAAATCATTGCAGCATTTGGAATAGTGATGGTGTACTCTTAAGAAAAGTTATTCCAAACATTTTAGAGTCTGACTATCTGTATGGCTATCCATGTCCATATGCTGAACAAGCCTTTTTGTGTGCAGGAAGCCAAACCTGTGCCTGACTCTCTCTAGCCATAGCATCCAGACCTGGAAGAACCAAAAGTCCTTCCTGGCTTCCAGGAAAACTGTCACTATCATTTCTAGTTTAGTGAGTGTCAGAGTCACCCCCAAGCTAGAGAGTTTGAGCTGAGATGAGAGGGGGTGGAGAGGGCCAGGGAAATGGCTCCTGCCCATGGCTTGGCTCTAGAAGAGCCCCATCAAGCATCAGTGCTCTGGTCACAGAGCCCAGACACCCCAAAGCTGCTGCCTGCCAGCTCGTGTTCTCACTGCTCCTGCTGTGGGAATGTGGGTTTGTTGGAGAAGGACCTGATGGGGAACCCATTGTGGCCCAATACATGGGGATACACCCCCACTCATTGGGGGGTGTACCTGATTTTTTGGTGTGCTGACAACAAGACAAAATGCCTCGAATCCTCTTTGACCAGAGGGCAGCTGCAGCCTGGAATGAACATTTTGATCCCAAATTTGTTGCCAAGGTTTGATGCATGTAGGTGAGTGTCTTTTAGGCCAGTGCTTTCCCACTCCTGGGTCACTGCAGGGTGAAAACATGAAACTTCAGCAGGTTTTACAGAGTCCTGGTGTTCCCTCTGGGGCTGGATGCTGGTGGTAGGTGGTGTTTGCCACAAAGGCTTCAATCTGGAAGTGCTAGAGGGAGTCCAGGAGGGAACCAGTGGTGCAAAAAGATGATCAGGAACCTGTTTCTTGAAGAAATTTGTTACCTATTCTTGCTCTCTGTGCACCAATTAATAGGGGATTGTAATTTCTTTTTTTTGCATCAATTGCTCTTTGCTTGGGAGGGGTTTCTCTCCACAGTATATTCTTTTTTTCATCCCTGGCACAGGTTCTCTAACATACAGATTTCTTCTTGTATTCTTGGTTGATCAGCTTGTATATCCAGCATTACCCTCTTACCCTGTTTTGAATCTCCCCTTTTATTAGCATTTCATTGCAGCTCCTTTTGCCTTGATGTGGTGATGAGGAATCAGGATCCATCTTTCTGTAGTGCACTGTCCTGATGAAAGGAGTTAACAGAGAAAATAGGTGTTTCCTTGAAAATAGAAAGGATTAAATAGGAACCAGATTCATCATTCTGCTCCCAGCTTTTTTCTAACTAATACAGGAATCAAAAGCTTGTAGCTCTCTTGTGGCAGCAGAACACACTTGTCTCTGGGAACTATAAACTTCTGCAGTGTTTTTGCTGACTCTCACATACATATTTTGAACAATTTATATTCTGCTGCTTCTACTTGCAACCTAAACTCTGGGAAAAATCTGTTGTGCTTTTTGCGAGCCTTGAACTCGGCGTGATGGCTGCTCTTATTTCATGTGTTTCTCAGAAAAAGCTTCTTGCAGGAAAACACAATGTATTTCTTTGAAGATCTGCTTGGGTCACATGATATTTGCTTGAATTAATGGGATGACATAGATACTGCACTTCAGCAAGCAGTGTGTTTCTTTAAAACATAATTAAAAACTCTGTGCCTTGTTTACAGCCTGCCTCGTACCCCATTTGCTGCCTGTCCCCTGCAGCTTGCTGTGATCTGCAATCTTTCTGCTTTGGAGAGCAGAGTATTGCTCTCCTGCTGTCAGCCAGCCCAGCCTTGCTGCAGCAGACTTGCCACCTCCTTGCAGTGAATTTCTTCCCTCCTTCTCCCTTTCGTTTCTTCCTTTCCTTTCTCCCTTCCCTTTCTCCCTTCCTCTGTCTCTCTCTCTCTCTTTCTCTCTCTCTCTTCCTTCCTCCCTCCATCCCTCCCATTTGCACACCTGGGTCTTTTAAAATTCAGCTCATAAGCAAAGTGATGCATCACCTAAAATTGTAAAATCTGTCATTATCTTCCCTCTCTCAAAGAAAAAAAACCAAAAATGCACAACACAAAAAAAAACCCCTAAGATGAGCAAAAACGTGATTGAATCACCAGGTCTGGTGTCTCCTCTTTGTATTTGAAATCTTTCCAGCACGGCCACCTTCTTTCATCCCCAGGAAAAGGCTGTAGCTGCTTACTTGGAGAAACCAGCCCTGTCACTGTGCAGTGGCTCTGCTGACTTGTTTCAGAAAATCCCGTTATCTCAGGCTTGTAAAATGGCTTTGGGTGAGCTCCAAGAAGTGGGGAATTGTGTGCATGGAAAGAAACCAAAAGTTAGCAATCGATAAAGGCTGCAGCCCTAGCTGAGCCACTCTGACTTGCAAAATGTGCTTGTCTGAAGATGAAGTCACTGTCACAGGCTGGACATCCAATATTGCTAATGATGTTTTAACATATTGCTATTTTTATATAAATTCTGGGATAGCAGAGGGAAAAAAATCAGGGAGGATAATAGGATAGGAGGCAGAAAAGGATGTTTCTCTTGCTGTAACCTCTGTGGTATGTTTGCACAGCCCTGCACACAGATCCTGCAGCCCTGCTCTGCTCCTGCAAACCAGCCCTAATCCTGCCCCAGCCCTGCTTGGGCTCTGCAGCATCCTCCTGTGCCCCCTCCTGCCCAGGACCTGCTGCTTTCCTCTTCTCCACAGACTTGGCCAAGCTTTTTTGCAACCATTTTGCACCCCTGGTTTGCCCACCCTCGCAGCCACTGGCAGGACCTCACTGGCCCTTTTTCTGTGTGCAGAAGGCCCAGCTGCTGGGAGTGTGATCTCCTCTTGCTCACACATACCAGGAGTGTATCTGAGCAAGCCCAACGTGGCCCACATGCATGTGTGTGGTTGTATGAGCTGAATTCCTGTTCGGGCAAAGACACATCTCATCTTTCCTCCTTTTATTCCCCCTTGTAAGCATGTAGCTCACACAAACCTGTGTCCTCTTTGCAGAGTAGGAGACATAAATTCCACTGCTCAGAGCTGTTGCAGTGAACTGTTCACCATCCTTAGCTACTAGTTCTGGGCTCCTCACGACAAGAATGGCATTGAGTTGTTAGAGTGAGTCCAGAGAAGAGCAACCAAGCTGGGGAAAGGTCTAGAGAACAAGTCCTGTGAGGAGAGGCTGAGGGAGCTGGGGATGTTTAGTTTGGAGAAGAGGAGGCTGAGGGGAGACCTCATTGCTCTCTACAGCTCCCTGAAAGGAGGTTGTAGGGAGATGGGAGTTGGGCTCTTCTCCCACGTGAATAATGACAGGACCAGAAGAAATGGCCTGAAGCTGCACCAGGGGAGGGTTAGACTGGATATTGGGAAGAATTTATTTACCTAAATAGTGGTTGGACACTGGAACAGGCTGCCTAGGGAGGTGGTGGAGTCACCATCCCTGGAGGTATTAAAAAAACCTGCAGATGTGGCACTTCAGGGCATGCTCTAGTGGGCACAGAGGGGTTTTTGTGGGGTGTGTGGTGATGGTGGCTTTGTGGGATGCATGGTTATGGGGGTTTTGTTGTTTGTTTGGGTGGGTTGTGTTGTTCCCACCCGCCCAGGTGGACAGTTAGACTTAGTGATCCTTGAGGTTTTTTCCGATCATAATGATTCTGTGATTCTGTGCATTTCTGTGGCTTATTTGTTTCAGGAACTTTTTTTTTTTTTTTTTTTTACTACTGCTCTGAATTTAATTTGCAATAGATTTTGCCAGTGCATTCTTCCTGGAGGAGGCTCATTGCTTTTGGATGCTGTGCAAATAGCAGCTATTCCACTTGTGTCAGGAGCTGCAGAAAATGCTGATTGTTTCCTTAATGTGCCATTACCTGGGTAGCACATGTGCTCTGCGTAGAGGAGAGCAGGAAAGAATGGCTTGTCTGCAAAATCAGGGGTTGCACAGCATCCACTCATCACAGAGCAGCTTTTTCTGTTCCTGACACAGCAAGCTGTTGGGAGACAATCATCCCTCAGGATCTGAGGCACTTCCCATGTCGGTGTGTCCGTCACAGCAAGTGTGTCTGCCTGGATAATGGCAGGGAAGTGCTGAGCTCCTCTGCAGGGTGTGCACATGGGCTGTGCTGGAGGCTCTTTCTGCAAGTGATAAATGGGGCTCTGGAAGTGTGGATCTGTCAGCCTGGCCAGCTGTGGCAGCCACCTCCATTGCAGTCCCCTCCCTGAGGCGTCTCCACCAGCCTGCAGTGCAGACACCTCAGCAGGGAACAACCATCCTTTGCACTCTCCTTATACTCTTTGGAGATCAGGGTAGTTCCAGGCATGATTTATCAGGTCAAATCATAGAGTGGTGGGGGAAGGAAGGGATCTTTGGAGAGCATCTAGTCCAACCTCCTGCTAGAGCAGGGTCAGACACAGCAGATCCCACAGGAACACATCCAGAGGGGTTGGGATGTCTCCAGAAAAGGAGACTCCACCACCTCCCTGGGCAGCCTGTCCCAGGGCTCTGTCACCATCACAGTCAACAAGTTCCTCCTCCTGTTCAGCTGGAACCTCCTGTGCTCCACTTTGTGGCCATTGCCCCTTGTCCTGCCACTGGGCACTGCTGGGAAGAGTCTGGCCCCATCCTGCTGACACCCCTGGAGATATTGAGGAGGGTTGATGAGATCCCCCCTCAGTCTCCTCCTCTCCAGCTGAACAGCCCCAGCTCTCCCAGCCTTTCCTCACAGGCAGGTGCTCCAGTCCCCTCAGCACTTGGGGGCCCTGCCCTGGACCCTCTCCAGTAGCTCCTTGTCCGTCTTGAACTGGGGAGCCTAGAATTGGACAGAGTTCTCCAGGTGGGGCCTCAACAGGGCAGAATACACCCGTTTTAGGTAACAAGACCCTCACATGTTCCCCACCAGGACTCAAAGTGCAAGGTAACCAGCTGCCATGGATGTACCTCCAAACATCCAAGGAATCCCCTTAAGTGACATGTCCCTGTGTTTGGCTGCACAGATAAGTCAGCTCTGAACACAAGAACTCAATGATCTTTAAGGCCCCTTCCAGCTCTAACCATTGTATGATTCTGTGATCATGAAGGTAGATAAAAGCCATCATGGTAGATGGTTTTTAGAATGATCCAGATGTTGTGATTCTTTGAGGTTTTACAAAGCCAGCCATCTTCCTAATAAATGTCTTAACTTACTAGATCAGAAGCAAAATCTCTTTAGCCTGTTGCCTTTTCCTTGCAAGTGGCTGCAGTGGAGAACCAGGAAAAGTCTGAGGAGAAAGGAAGGGATTCCTTGCTAGATCTCCATCCCTCACGTGGCTAATTATTCTTTGAACATACCTAGATCTTTGATGCTCTGTTAATCTGTGGCAGTGATAAACCTCCAAAAGAGCATTGCATTTCAGGCACCCTCATCCTTGTACAGAGACAGAGTTAATAATCGTTCCCTATTAACCAGACTGAAGAGTCCAAGCTAATTAATCTTTCCTGAGATGGAAGCCACTCCAGCAGGGTGGAAATGAGACTTGCTGCTGTGCCACCCCCGACTCCGTGGGAGCCCTGCCAAGTTCCTCCCGTTTGGCCACAGTGAATGCCAATGCAGAGAGTTCAGTTTATATATTTTCATGTGAATAAGTCTTTTGAAATCTCCCCAGTTTAAGGAAATCTGGTGATGACCAGCTCTGCATTTTAACCATGTTTGTCAGTGTTAAGGGACTCGATCTGCTCTGGAGTGTGAAGGTCGTTTCTTTAATTTCATAGCTTTCCTTTTTTCAAGGTGTTTTGTCTCTGTAAGATGCCTGCAGTTCAGCCAGTTTCCAGCATGATGGATTTCATATTGATGAGGACAGCAGATTGCAGGAATATGATCATGAATATAATGACAGGAAGGAGGGTCTGAGGAATGTGCCAGTGCAGGATTTCTGTTCTTGAGATCTTTATCTGAATGGAGCTGCTTTGTGGAGTGGCTTGGGTTTTTTTTCTACAGGTGCAATAGGACATGGAATGGGGCAAATATTATACTAAATAGTAGCACCTCTTTTTTTTTTTTTGTTTGACAGAACATGTCTGATACCAAAGTGTTTATTTAGAGACTCCACAGTGAACATAATTCAAACATTTGTGTGTCATGTGCTCATAGGAAGGTCGTCCCAAAGCAGATGATAAGCAGCTTTGGTAAATGGGGCTAAAATAATTTTTGTCCATATGCAAAAGAATAGTATTTCAGCTCTGGAGCTCAGAGGGGCAGAAGGCAGAGCACCTGTTTTTATTTTAACCTCTTCTACCCTTTTTTTTGCAGATCATATCTGACTCCTGTGCGGGATGAGGAAGCAGAGTCGCTGAGGAAGGCGCGATCCAGGCAGGCCCGCCAGACACGCAGGTCCACGCAGGTAAAGCTTGGAAATCTTCCTGTTCTTGGGTAGGGGGAGGAGAAAAGATGTATAAAGAGGCAAGATTTTCTCCTGCTCTTATATTACTGCTTAGGACAAGGGGCTTCTCTGCCCTCACTGGATTGGAGAGGTTCTGGCAAAAGTTCCTGCAAGTGGTTATTACAGAATACTCCCCTGAGCACATGAGTTGGATTTCAAAGTTCTCACTGGTGCAGTATTCCTGCCTTCTAGTTTGTATCTTGATCACGTAGATTTGGGTCATTTTCAGTCAGTGATTAGGTCTGTACACTGAGAAGTGTGTTAAAGGCAACAGATTATTTCTTTTTCCAGTTAGCATAGAGATGAAACATTAGCCTGGCTGGGTATAAGCCTGCTGGGTGTTTTAAACTGACCTGGAAGACATGAAATGTAAATGCATACATTTAAAAATTCTCTCTCTCTTTTTCTCTCCAGGGTGTGACACTGACAGACCTTCAGGAGGCAGAAAGAACCTTCAGCAGGTCCCGGGCAGAGCGACAAGCTCAGGAGCAGCACAGCGAGACGGCGGAGAGCACGGAGCCTGCTGAGGAGAGCAGGGAGAGGCAGGACACCCAGGCAGGGTGGAGCAGGAAT